GTACGTGAACTCGAACTATCTCTTAGACCCTTTTAGTCAATCCATGACAAGAATCTTGATAAACTTGGAGTTATTTACATAAGTACTTGTTTGAAGAATGTCCACGTCATCTTTTCTTAGCAGTTGATAATGGACATTCGGAAGACCAAAACAACTTTGATCGAAGCAAAAATACCAATAACGATGATAACTGAACGAGTTTTTGTACGTAGAATATTGCGAATCAATTTCTCTATCGAACAAGGTGTCGTTTGAGAATTTATGTGTTGTTATTTCGCCATTTCGCCATTTCGCATTTTAGGAACACCCGAAAGCTCGGACAATAAAGTTTTTAAAATTATGGTTGATTGAGCAAACTACATGTAAATATGGTAAATACAACCAACAAAGATCTTTTAAAATCTTATTCATGCCAGATAGTATAAACAATCACTATACATTACATGTGAATATAAAGAATTACTTTCATTCAAACTTTACATGTATGCATAACCTTTTCTTTATCATAAAAATCCTCAAATGGGATAAATATATTTAAAAAAAAACATTGACAGCAGTAGTTTAGGTAGGCTCAGTCTCCAGCCGTCGGGATTTCGTGCGCCCGCGATACTCTMTCCCCTGACGGCTGGGCGCATGGGGTTCGAAACGTGTCGCGCATGTCCGTRACGTTTTTGTGTAATTAGCATATTATGACGTAACGGAAGTGAATTTTTCAGTGAACGGAAGTGAAATATCTGACAACAGCCGTATTAAAAKGTTTTGCTACAAGACGGGAAATTATGTGAAATGAAAACTTGGCGAAGTGGCGATATAATGTAATAGTTAGCGTTTAAAAAAGAGAAAGGAATGGAAATTACCCCAAGTAAAACATGTGCAGGGTTTAATAATCCAAATGGATGTATTATGTGCCAGAAAAACGAGCAAAATACACTAGTGGCGCTGTTTGAAAAATAAGAGATTTGCCCGAGCCAGTATAGAGAATAACAAGGACATCTTTTCCAAGAACAATCTCTTTAAGAGCCTTTTGCTGTATTTCTCTAAATTCGTCGAAACTAAACGACTTCAGAGCGTTCAAACGAGAATCTCAAACGACGAATTGTCCGCCATTTTGTTACACTGCGACGACGGCTGCCTGCTAATTTATTAATGATATGCCCCTGAAAATATCGGGGGCCACTCGCTGATTGGTCAAGACTGACAATAGCGAACCCCATGCGCCCAGCCGTCAGGGGAGAGAGTATCGCTGGCGCACGAAATCCCGACAGCTGGAGACTGAGCCTATAGTTTAGGGTGATAAGTCTTAATCTAAATGAGACTGATCATAACAAAGGTAAAAACAGTTTTTATAGAAAACTACTTATTTAGTGTCTTTTCAATCGGTCATCAAATTGGTTTGTTGTTGTTGCTGCATGAGAATTTGTAGCTGCTGCTGCTGCATACTCATTTGTTCGCGCACAGACTCATCTTTCTTTCTCTTGTCCTCTTGCTCCTTCATTTTCAATCTTATTTCCTTCAAGTGCAGTTGATGCTGATTTTCCATCTCTTTTCTTTTTAACTCTAACTCTTCTTCCTTGAATTTCTGTTCAATTTCACATTTCTCTCTCAAATAGCCCACGGTATCAGAGCCAGTTCTCCTTCTCTTTGCAGGTTTTTCTGGGTTGTCACATTCAGCGTTTCTCTTCTGGCTCTCCTTAAAAGTTTCCAACGACTGCCTTCGCATTTCCTCTCCCTTCTCTGCGTCATCTTCTATCTTTTTCTTTTTCTCTGTGGATGCTTTTTCGAATTCTCTATCACTTTCTTCCATCTGTGAAATAATGTCTGCCATCGCTTGGTCAAGCTCACTTTCTTCAGGATTAGTTCCACTTTCTCCATCTTCTTTCCTGACTTTCTGCTTATGTTTTTTTTCGAGCAGTACGTAGCGATCACGTACAGATCTTTGTGATACTTTAAATTTTGGATTGGGAAGAGAATTTAACGTTGCACTTATACGGTTCCAACGCTCGCCCCTTTCTGTTGAACCTCTTTTATGATCCCAAGGTGAATGAGCAATAATTTCGCGCACAAACACGATGTTGTGCTCCTCTGTCCACTTCATCGCTTGACTCGTTTGACTGGAAGTGAAACAATGAAAACAATGTCAGAAAATTCCCGCGAAAATCGTAATCAAGACGAAGTCAAACAATGATAAAAAACTYGGAAAACATTGCGAAGTCGAAATTGGTTCTAGATATTTTGAYATAAGTACTTACTTTGCCATTATGAACGAAGAAGTTTGCCGTCGCTCCACAACGCGAAAATGTAGTKTTGGACGTTCGGCACGAAGAGCGACAACGCGGGAAAATTTATTTTGGACCTTGTGCGCATGCGGCTTATGTCATTCCGCTGAATTGACGTCGACGTCGCCGTCCTCGTCGTCTTAGCGTAAGGCCCCTAATGTGCTTCGCGGACCGTCTTAGACGAAAGATAAAGTTTGCATTATACCCTGGTAAGAAAGAATCGCCTGACGTGAGGATTGAAGAAGTTGTTTTTAGTTTTGTTAGAGGCAATGGAAACAAACTGCAGTATTTAAGAGAAGAATGGAAATGGATGTATAACAGAAAGAGGGATGCTAATATGAAGAAATGATTTGAGACATTATGCAAGTAAACTTCACATTGTATTCATCACTTTTGTATTATTTATAAAAAAGAGAAAAATATATTTTTTTTAATTGTATGATATAAAAGTCATCATATGATATACATATTCTCAAATATGCCAGACATTATTTTCTTCATTAATTTACAATTATAATAGTTTTAAATATGCAGAATTAATATATATATCACTAGCAAAGCTTACAACAAAGCCTCATGAGCTGTAAGGCGAGTGTAATTTGTCACTTTTTAGATTTTGTCTGTTAATAAATTCATTTTTAATTGAATGAAAGCAATAATTTCATATAATTCTTACAAATAAATCAGGATTTATCAATGTCTGTATGTACATGATTCAGTAGACAATGCCTAATGATGCATTTCCAATTACAAATCAAATTAAGGAATCATATTGACTATTTAATTTATTGTGCATCAGGCGATAAACATTTGCTCACCCATCCTCCATTTTTCTTCTCGATGTGATTCGGGGAAGAGTATGGTTTAAAATGACAGGTTTGGCATTCTTCTGTACATGTTTTAATATTATGTCCTGGTTCATTACAATTTCTGCAAACATATTCTCGTGTATTCCTTCTGCATCCAATGTCATCCAAAAGTTCAATCCTATTTTTCTTTTGCAATACTTGTAAGAGTGCATCTGTTCCTTTGTGATAACTGGATTTGTAGAAGTCCTTAGTTGTAATGTCATTGTTGATTAAACATGCAGATTCCTCCATACCATTCTATAAAATCAGGTACATGCACCCAGAAACCACTCGATACAAATTTCGTTGTCGTTAACTTTGATTTTCTTCAGACTCTCAACTTCGTTTATGATATCTGCTAGTTCAGTCTTCAAGTTGTCATAGTCTTCGTTGCATTTCAAAATGGCAATTGTGTGGTTACCCTCCGCTGCCATTGMAGAATTCCCCTCCTCTAAAAGTGTAAACGTTACATTCACCWCATGAATTCTTTTCCCAATGTATGTTCCATCACCAGAAAGKTTTACACGTAATTTGTTGATTTTGACGTTCTTATGTATCAAAGCCTCAGTTCTTATTTTTTTTCTTTATTTTTAAGCGGTCTTTGATGCTTTGTTGGACTCCCTCCCCCCCCAGGCGTCAAGCGAATATCCCATTTCTCGTTCAATTTTCTGATGCGATCTTGAATTTTGAAGGAGCGAGGCAAATCTTTACAAATCATTGACATCTCATGATATGCATTTCTAGATATCCCGAATTTGTCTTTAACGTAAAGCATCAAATTTATTTCGTCAATTTCTTCATTTGTTATCGTTTCAGTTCTTTGAGACCCAGCACTTTCAKTCGCTTCATCAATCAGTGAAATATCCTCATATAATCCGGTGTTGTTATTAAATACTTCTACCTTTGTAGCTATAAAACCTTACAGACCCAAAAATGAGAGAGTTGATTCACAATCAGCAACCAAGTTCTTTTTAATTCTAGCTTGATGTTGTCTAGTGTAGTCTGTGAACATCTTCTTTTTGGCCGGCCCTCTACTATTTGGGTCTTGCTTTCTTAGCTGCTTGACTACTTTGTTTGCCAGCTTCTTAAACCGTTGCTTACTATCGATCAGCCCTTTGTTTTTCTGTTCTACAAGTTTTAATGCACAATTCAACTTTTTAGCCTTTAAGTCTTGAAATTCCTCATTAAGCTTTCGTTTCTCGCCTCTCACTTGATTAAGCTCTCCCAWGGTTTGTATGGCATCAAGTTCACGGTAATATATTTTGAATTTTATATTCTGATGACTTGTTTTCCATTTTTCAATAAGATGTTTAATCTGCCTACYGCCTTTGCTCGATGCTTTTTTCAGTGCTAATCCAATGGTTCTGATCTTTTCTGTCATATTTTTAACTCGGAGATTGCGTAAGCAATCGTAGAGTTGTTGGGAGGGCACAGGCTGTCACTCGCTCGATCACTTTCCTGTAAACTCGAGCCTGCGATGTCTTTGTCAGCAGTTATTCATTTAATCATATTAATGTATTCTACTTAATTATTATTTATCATATCTAATTTTTCTTTACTGGTTTCCCTGTGCTATATC